CCTCGAGCAGAGCATCTGGTGGATTTGAACTGTGCACCTCTGTACTTGCAGTTGCAGCTTCTTGCCACTAGGCCACCAGATCTCGCCAGAAGTTAATTTTCATATTATATGTGATCAGCATTTTAAAACGGCAAAAATTGCTTAAGTGTTGCCAAGTGCTACTCATCATGACCCTGTCTCTATCGTGTGCCATCCTCATTCTGTTGACACCAATTACCAGTCCACTTCAGTGAGGGTTTTCCTCTCAGCTGACTCCTCCACCTCTGCAAGTTTGATGTCCTCCAAGGAATACCCTCTCCTAGTAACATGCCCTTTGACTGTGTGGATCATAACAAACTGTGGCTGACTGAGAAGAATGGGAATCCCAGAACATTTAATTGTGCTAATGCGAAACCTGTACTTTGATCAAGAGGCAGTAGAACAGGGAGGGACGGGTCCTTGGAGAGGGACATCATGCTTGGGAGGGTGGAGGGACAGCGCAGGAGGGGAAGACCCTCTATGAGATGGATTGATTCTGTGGCTGGGGTATTCAGGATGGGTGTGTCAGAGGCGGTGCGGTTGGCGCAGGATAGAGCAGGGTTTAGGGCTGTTGTGCATAGGGTCGCTATGAGTTGGAAACGACTCGGTGGCACATAACAAGTAACATGCCCAGAGTATGTGCGATGAGGCATCCTAATAGAAAATGCAGTACGATTCTAGGTGGCATATGATCTTTTATTGAATTGCTGGGTTCTTTAAGCCATACTCCTCAGCAGGCCAGTGATGTCCAGAGACCCAAAAACTGGTATTTACATTGGTGGTACATGCCATCAGGTCGGAATCTGATCCGGCCTACATTCCAGTGGAAATTGCACAGGAGGAACTTGATTTTTAACCTCTACCACGCAGAGACTGGTGGGTTAGAGCCATGTGCCTCTGGTCAGTGCAATTCTACCTACTAGATCGCTCGAACTATTAAAACATGTTGGAAGTTAAAAAAGGTTTGACTCTGTAATGTGTTTTAACAATCCCTTGAGATTGTGATAAACTGATGGTTAGTTACCATTTACATTTTCAGAAGTAGTATTATGAATGAATGTTGCCTATGTTAAATTTAAGTTGTTAGTAGTTTCAACTTCCTCGAAAGACACACTTGCGAAGTTCTGCCCAGGGTATGAACTTTTGCTTATATTTGCTTCCTTTGTAAAATGGCGCTTATGTCTACCTTCATTAAGTTAAATGTGCTCAAGGGCTTTAAGAGCTTAACATGGTCTAGTTTTTAACATACAATCGGTGTAACAGGTGCTGTTTCAGAATCTAAAATTTTAATGGGTGACATGACAGTTTTTTTATTTCAATGAAAATTTACAGAGACTTTGGATTTCCATTCATTCGTTGTTGCACTTTTCTCCCCTCCCAACCCTCCTCCTAGAACACTACCCTCTTGGAAAAGTAAAATTCTTTCATTGTTTTACAATCCCTCCCCTCAGGTCCACTCCACTATGCAGCCTTCGTTCTGGATTCCTGTCATGACAAAAACACCTAGGAACAATCCCTTTTAAACAGTTTTCTCCCTCATCTGTTTCAATGCAATATACATTATTGAACTCATCTTTCTCAGTCTCCTCCCAACACTGATGTCAGTCCTGTTTTACACTAGTGGCACTATGCAGTATTTGTCCTTTTGTGACTGAGATACATCACTCAGCATAATGTCCTCTAGGGTCACCCATTTTGAATAATACTGCATGAGTTTCTTGTTTTTCAATGCAGTCTAGTATTCCATTGTGTGACTATACCACAGCTTCTCTATCCATTCCAACTCCTTGCTATTGTGAACAAAGCCGCAGTAAACATGGGTGTGCATATATATCTGCTTGGATGTCAGTTCTTTTTGGGGTATATTCCCAGTAGTGGAATTGCTGGGGCAAATGGTATCTCTCTTTGCAACTTTTTGAGAAAGTGCCATTATCGCCTTCCACAGTGGTTGCACCGATGGTCATTTTTTAAAAAAACTTTACCTATGTACAGGATTGGCATTCCAATCTTAATTATTAAACATTAACTACTGTCCAAAATGAGGTTCTGTTTTTGCATTTTGTTATTAAGTCTTAACGGCAAGTATATTTGAGTGCCAGTCCCCCGTTTGCTAAGAAGTGTGAGTTTGAGGGGAGTGCTGGTGGCCTAGTGGCAAGAAGCTGCAGTGCAATCCCAGAGGGGTATGCATTTCCAATTTACCAGATGCACTGCTGGAGGAGGGGCAATCTCCTCCTGTAGCAGTCAGATCTGATTTGACGGCACACACACACACACACACACAACAACAAAAATGTAAAAAAAAAAAGATAAGCGTGAGTTTGACAAATCTGTTAGAAAAAAATAGATTTTTACATAACATGCAAATTGAGCAAGTGAGAAACAGTTTGAATAGTTTATTACCTAAATTCAATGTGAAGACTGGAAATTCTAATACCTAGAACATTTCAAATCTAGCATGGGAAGAAGAAATTTTTTAAAAAGCATTAGGTTTTATTTTCCAAGTACATAATGCAATATGTCTAACAGATCAAAGAGTAATTGTTATAAGGAGGAGGCTGTGTGATCAGTTATGTGAACTGGCATTTTTTAAAACTATTTTTTGGTATGTGTGTACAGTCAAATTGGATCTGACTGGTACAAGACAAGATTATCCCTCCTTCTCCAGCACAGCATCTGGTGGATTTGAACTGCTCACCTCTGGGATTGCAGTACAGCTTCTTGCCATTAGGCCACCAGAGCTCGCCTGGGCAAAGTATTTTTTTTTTTACTAGTCTGGGTAATTCTGTACATGACTGTGTTGGCTGTTAAGAGCTTTGCTTTGTCTGACAGTGTTCGACTGCAGGTAATTTATAACGATCTAATGGTTTTCCTAGTAGTAGGCATTAGATTGTGGGTTTTATATTATGATATTGGAAAACTGGTATCTCCTTCAGTGAAGCATTCCCACCCCTATCCCCCAACCACCAGTAGAGGAGAAAATTACTCAACAGCACAAAAAAGGTCAGCAGAAAAAGAACTTAATATATGGAACTGTTTGAATCCTTGGCTCTTCTCAGGACTTCACAGGCTAAAGTAAAATTCTTTACTAGATTAGTTAGACTTTAGTTTTTCTTGAAACCAAAAAGCCTACTAATAAAGTTTAAGAAATTTGGGGAAATATACATATTTATAGAGTACTTCCTATGAGCTAGGCACAAGCAGCTCATTTAGTTCTTTATGAATGAATGGAAGCAAACCCTGACACACTCACTTCAGGATCTGTGATCTTTATAGCCTACACGATTGTTCCTAATGGATTGATGGGACTTTCTGTGTAGCAACTATTCTAAGCTTACACTTCACCTGTAGGTGAGTCTTCGTTTCTTCACTTTAAAAGGGTAAGGAAAGCCTCACCAAACCTATGAACAGTTGCTTAGTTATATACACAAATTAGTGGTTCTTTTTACTACCGTTTGTAGGCTTCTAATACCGTTCTGAACTTTGTTTTTGTAGGTTTTCCATGTCTTGAGTCCTTGGGGTGGCTGTTAACCAAAGATGGTTTGTGTCCACACAGGTGCCTTGGAAGAAAGGTCTGGTGATCTGCTTGCAAAAGCTGGCCATTGAAAACTCAGTAGAGCAGAAGGGGGTTGCCATGAGTCAGGACTGATTTAGTGCAAATGGTCTGCTTAGATGTTTATTAGATCTCTACAACTTGTACCCAAAATAATCCTTTTGAACTGGTTTAGTCATGACTGACAAAGCAAAATCAGAACAGCTTTGAACTTTAACAAATTTGAGAACAGTAATTGCAGTAAGAAAAATGACAGGTTGAAACAGGCATGGGAGACTTGTAAGTGACCTCTTTCAAAAGCCTGATGCTGGAGACTGGTTAACTCCCAGCACTAAAGAGCACATTTTGGAGAACATGTAGATCCCACTGCCTCTTTACTATCTCTGCTGCCACCTGGAACAAGCTACCCTTTGGCTAAGTATGACAGCGCTGCACATTTGGAGAGCTTGGTCTATATGTGCCTCGGAGTATTCCAGCATAAACCAAGAAGGTGTTACTCCTGCTTAACAACTCCAATACTGTCTCACTTCCCCCCCCCCCCGTCATTCATGCATATTTTATTGCATAATAATTACAAAAGCCACAATATCTTATCATACATTCAATTCATGTTGGTTTTCCTCTCCCATATTATGTGTTTATTACCATTTTTTAAAAATTTTATTTTAAAAATTTTAATGAACATTTACAGAGATTTTGGATTTCCATTCATTGTTGCACTACTGTCTCACTTTTAAAGTCCTTCTAGGCTAAGAAAGCTTATGGAGCACTCTATCTTTGTCATTCTGTCTCCATCACATTGTGCCACCATACAATGAAAATTTGCTTGGATGTCCACCTGACAACAGGCCGCCCTGCAAGGCTCTGTGCTGTGGTGGCCCTGCCCCATTTGACTTATTTCCCCCTTCCTCTCTTCAGTTACACTATCGTCTTTGTTCTTGGTCAAACAGGTTTTAAACTCTGCATCTGCTATGTCCTGTCTGTAATAACTCTTTAACAGAATGGTGTATTCTCCACACCTCTAAATGCTTTCACATCAATATGGATTTTATTTGCACACAGAATTTAAATTACAGTACTTTCTGATGGACTTTCCAATCCTTTCTCTTGTGACTATAGTATGTCTGCACTCTCCTCACTAGAATGTAAATCATAAGAAGCAATTATTTGTCCACTGTAGTTTTAATGATGCCTCGCACATTCATCCACTGATGTGGATAAATACATATTTTTATGTCAAGGTATATAACATTTTTTTGGTTAAGACATGCCTATTATATCTCTATCTCCGGTGCCATTAAGATTAGTATAAAGTGCTTTTCATATTTTCAGATAACATGAAAGAAAATACATAATGTCTAAATGTATCATTTAATGTCTTTTAGAAAATATTGTATAAATAAACTCAGGTAAATGAATCATGAAGAAGTAATTTAACAGTCATAATAATATCCCTTTATTAGTACCAGCTTTTAAAATTTTTCCAGAGCTAAACAATTTAATATAAAAAAATTGCCATTTTTGTTCATACAGTATTTATAAAAAAAGTATATAGTGGTTAGTTTGGAGACAATTTGCTTTTAGCCAGATGTCATATAATCATAAAAATCTATGAATGTAACAAATGAGATAAGAACAGTATAAATAAGTTTTCTAGTATTTACACTTTGGTATTCTAAGAAATTAAGTTTGCAGTTAAAGTGAAACTACTGATTCAATATACTGGTAACTTTAATGCTTTTTAAAGTTTTACATTCTTTTCTATACTAGTTTTGGCTATAATCTTGCATAGAAGTACTTATAAAGTATATTTCTGTATTTCATGTCACAGTAGGAGCTTTTAGTATAACAGTACAAAAAAACAGCATCAACATTAACACTAGCTCAAAAAAGATCAAATCAATCTTCCCAAACCTAGTTTTTCTTAACATCTGGCTTCTTACTTTTGGGAACAAGGAATACATTGCCATCTCTAGTTTGCTGCAAGGAGTATTCACTAGGAGAATAGGGTTTTCCATCTTCATCACGCAGCATGCTGAAGACTTCAAGGTATAAGGTGCTGAGCTGTTTTTTCAGGAGGTGGAGGCTTTTGTCATTTTCTCCTTTTTCTCTGAGCAATTTTTCTTTTTCATCTTTTAAATGATCCAAATCCTGCTCTAGTTCTACAATATTTTCCAGTTTTCTTTTTCTGCAGTTCTGAGCAGCCACTTTATTCTTACCCCTTCGACGTATATCTCGGATTAATGCAACTTGAGCTTCACTGAATTGCTCCTTGGACATCATTTCATTGAAGTCGTCAACAGGAAGGTTGATGATTTTTTCTACAGGGAATGGAATATGGAGAGCTTTGGCCCTTAGCTCATCTCTTGTGAGATGAGATTCCAAGCGGCTTGAATGTTTGTCTTTCGTGAATGGGGTTTTTCGATGACCAGGACTTACAGGCAACTCGTTTTTTGGGGTGTTTTCACACAGGGCATCACCCCCAGAGGCACTGTGCCCTGGAGATGGTGACAGGGGTTGGGCTGTATCTTCAGAAGACTGTACTGGCTGTGTTTTAGGACCATTCAGTTTGACGCTTTCAGGAGTACTATCCCTCTCTTCCATTTCTGAGTCACTGAAGCCAAGCGGTGTGTCTCCGTAGATGGAAGACTCCACTGAGTGCTCTGGCGATGCCATGCTAGGGCTTGTGTTCAGTGAAATGCCAGAGTCAGAGTCATTGAATTCTGCTGTGCTTTCAGGGTGGCTTTGGTTGAAAGCTTTACAAAGTGATAGATCAGAAATATCAATAGACCCATTCAGAAGTTCTGTCAGCGGCTGGCTTAATGCCGCAGATGAAGATATGCTGTTGCTGACACTGGGCTCTGCTATGAAAGCAGAATAAAACTCATCACCAAAATCGGTGTTTATTGTAGCATTTGCATTTAATGAGTTCACTGTCAACTGGTTTGAGTCATCTGTAGGTAGAATATTGTCAAAGAAATCCTCAAAGGCATTGAGAAAATTTGAACTGCAGTCACCTACTTCTTTTTCCAGTGAGGGTATAGATGAGTAGAAATGGTAACTGTTGTCAATTTCTGTCAGTTTTGTTTCCGTACTTGCCACAGTGTTAGTCTCAACTAGCTTGTCATTTTGAATATTAAGACACTGCATGGGGGAAAAAAGTTTAGACTATGTCAGTTATATAGAGAGGTTAAATATTTAACAAACCCAGAAAACCAAACCTACTGACATTAAGTTTGTTCCAACCACAGCCATTCTCCACTGGATTTCCCAAAGTGGAAGACTTTACTAGGGGAGCCTGTCCATCTTTCTCCTGTGGAGCAGCTGGTACCTTTCATCACTAATCTTTTGGTTAGCAGGCAATACTCAACGCACCTTTAGCTTCAGAGCTCCTATTTTACTTTAAGTTTAGGTAAATTTGTCCTCCCCACCCTGATTCTCTCCAAGCTGTTCTGTTCGATAATTTTATGCCTAAGCACCTGTATTAATTTAAGTGTTCCTAGATCAGACTTCAGATATATAATATGCCCTATTCTCAGCCCATTTAACTAACAAAAGTTCACAGTTAGTGTCTATGGGCATCTCATAACTAATTTAAAGACACCCTTCAAGCCTTTAAGTAGGAGGCATATAAATAAGAAATTATCTGAATGACTAATTTAAAGGCACTGAATATAAAGTAGAGTCCTAGGTATTATAGTAGAGCTTAGTTACCTGTAATTCTGGAATGGATAACAGCTCTTCCCACACTTGATCAACGTCCTGCATCATATTGTCTAGATGTTCAGGAGTTGTCTGAAGGACAGGAGTTTCAGGTGTCTGAGTCTGACTAGGAGCAATGAAGACTGGGCTCTCAATGTGGCTGGAAATATCTGGAACAAGTGACTGAAACGTGGCTGAAGAAACCTAAAATTGACAAATAATGGTATTTATCTGCCTGAGTCTGAAACCAACAGTGAAAGAGTGAGCTTCAAGGTACCATCACAATACTTTAAACTAGAGTCAATCAGCTTCAATTCCCTATTCCTCTACTTATTATAGAGGGGGATCTACCTATACTCCTATTTCTCTAAAATGAAACCACTTTCCCCCATCCTCAATCCAACAGACTCCAAATTTACTCCTTGTTTTACTTGACTAATTACCTGTTTAATCTTAAGCATTTGCAGGTAAATGTCAACGTGGATAACCGCAATCTTTAGACTTTGACATACACCCTTCTATATGATTCATATAGTCGTAGGTTTATAGAAACTGTGACTTGAACAGGTCTTGGATTATATTGTCTGGCTAGCTCATTACTCACCAAAAATTCATTTTAGGGATGTATTACAAGTGAGGTACTTGTTTTCATGGCTATACTGACCCATGTTTCTGGCTATGCAGTAATACTAAAGGGTTTTTCATTTCATGTCTAAGTGCTTTCTAAAAAACAATTATGGTTTCTTTGATGAGATTTCTTCCTCAAATAAGATTATTTCATTCTTTCTTTCAAATAGAGACATATTAAAAGGACTTATCTAGGGAATATTTGATTTAGTTGTAGTTTCACTGTAAATTAAATGTTTTATACCTCATTGTTATCTACAAATGGGAATGTCTCCGCCAAAAGCTGCATGCAGTCATCAAAGTACAAAGCATCTGGTTTGGGAATGTGTGCACCCTGGATAAGGAAAGACAAATGAAGAAAAAGAATGGTAAATGTATCACAGCCAAGCCAAAGGTTCCCAACTGACTGTCCCTCTTTCTCCCTCAGAGCAGCTGGTGGATGTGAAGAGCATGCCTTTGGGTTGGCCGTGCAACTCTTTACCAGTAAGCCACCAGCCTACTTGAGTTTAAATCCTCTCTCCATTTCTGGAGTGATTTGGATATGTTATTTAACCTATTTGAACTCCAGCTATTCATTCGTAGATAAAATGGGGAAAGAGTACCTAGTTCATATAGTTGTTTGTTATGCTCCTTTGAGGCAAAGATGACGAAGCTCCCTCTCTCATACTATGGACATGTTGCTAGGAGAGGCTATTCCTTGGAAAGGGACATCATGCTTGGAAAGATGGAGGGTCAGTGCAAGAGAGAAGGCCTCCAATAAGATGGACTGACAAGTGACTGCAGCAATGTGCTCAAGGGTGTCAGAGCGGATGAGGATGCCACAGGATAGGGCAGGGTTTAGGTTTGTTGTTCACTGGGTCACTGAGTCATATTTGATAGCACCTAACAACAACGACAACAACAATTCAACAATAACTGCCAGGTAAGCAGGCGCACGTACTAAACTGCCAGGAAGGCTGAGGTCAGAAATAGAGTGATAAATGGCGTTACAAGAAGTAAAACTGTAATTCAAGTTCAGATGTTATGACTTCTAGGTCAATGTTCTTTCCCTTAAACACTGCCATATACCTTTCCAAGAACTGTGTATTGTGTACCTGGGAGTAGTCGGCAGATCCACTGGTTTCTGATTGGATGTGCTGGGCTGGCTGGATTGGGAGGAATTCACCTGTCTCTTCGTCTAGTTGAAGCTGAGCAAAAAATGCTTTCTCTTGCTCCTTTTGGAGTTGTTCTTGTCTTTCCTTTTCAAGTTTTTTCTGCTTTTCCAGCTCATACTCCTTGCGTCGCTGACTGAAATCAAATACTTCACGACTTACCCCAAGATCTATATCTTGCCTCCAAAGTATGTCAATCAAATCCATGTCCTATGGTGAAGACACACACACACAGAGACACAATGGTTAAGATGGTTTTGAAGTAGCAGCTACCACAAATTAATTCACACTATGCCATTGTTGATGGGAAAAGGGGCTTACAAACAAATCTGAATGAGAACACAGAACCAATGTTCTGGAAGGATGCAAATGATCCTGCTCAATTAATATATTCATTGGAAAACAAAACCAAAATGACCTAAAGACATACAACCATCTAGCTAACTACTTACTACTTGCATTATTGATAATTGGATGATAGTAGAGGTTACTAAAGGGCAAGATAACCCATGTGTTGCACATTTAAGTGTTTAAATAGAAAAAAATGTCACACTTGTTTAAAGGAATAAAAAAATTACAGCATGGATGACAAGCCACCAGTTTATTGTGAAAAAACATTACTGAATACTGATACTTTCCCTCTAAACTTATTTGGCAAATAGAAAGTTTATAGGGGGGAAAGTCCCTAAATTAAATGGTCAATCTGTTAGATAATATCACCATTCTTTTCATTTTTCCAGCATTAGTTACATTATCTATCTGCTCATGCCATTTCATGCTATTCTTGGCTCTGTGGTTCACTATTTAAAAAAATTCCCTCTTGAGTTTTAGCTCCTGAGGCATAAGCATGTTGGTAAAGAGAAAGTGTAGCTAGCAGTGATCTTGTGACACACATGTCACATGAGTAGCTGCTTGCCCCAGCTGCTGGAAAAGGGGAACTTTACCTTCGTGGAACGGACTTTACCCTCCACATTAGCGTCCACCAGGTTCATGCCTGAGAATCATAAACAATTTTTTTTTTTCAAAAAAGGCCCTGGAGATGGAATGAATGTTGTTGTGTTGTTGACTGCCTTTGAGCCGAGCACAACTCATAGAGACCCTATGAACAAAAGGCCTGACGCCCCTCTACAACTATCGACATTTATCAAAGTTCAGAGTATTTCTGGAGGCCTGTTGTTTAGGAAGTGAATACCACTCCTGCTTCCAAACCTGCCATAGTATGTTATTGTTTTTATGTGCCATTGAGTTGCTTGCTATGTATAGCGGCCCTGTGTACTGCAGCTCTGAACCCATCCCTGTCCTGAACCAGTGTCACTAACTCTGACACACAAACCCCCATTACCCCAGTTACTGTATCAATCCATCTCATCAGAGGCTTTTGTCTCTTGTGCTGTCCATCTACCCTTCCAGGCATGATGTCCTTCTTCAAGGACCGATCTCTCCTGGCCATGTACCCAAAGTAAGTGAGGCAGAGCTTCAAAATCCTAGCCTCCAAGCAGAGACATGGTTTCACCCTGTCCAAGACAGACCTATTTGTTTTCTGGGCAGTCCATGGTATATTCAAGACTCTTCTCCAGCACCAAAATTCGAAGGTATTTATTCTTCTTCTGTCATCCTTAGTCATTGTCCAACTCTTTGAAGCATAACAAGTAACTGAGAAGACAATGATCTAGTTTAGGTGCACCTTTGTATCTTGACTGACATCATTGCGTTTTAGCACTGGAGAGGTCCATGACAGATTTTTCCCAATGCAATTCGTCTTTTGATTTCCTGAATGCTGGTGTTAAGAATGTTGATTGTGGATCCGAGCAAGCTGTAATTTTTAACAACCTCAATCTCTTCTCCATCTAATATGGTGCTGTCAGTTGCCCCAGTGGGGAGAATCTTTGTCTTCTTGATGTTGAGCTTCAATCCATATTAAAGACAACAATACTTGACCTGCAGCAAGTGCTTCAAGTCTTCTTCAGTTTCAGCAAGCAAGGGTGTGTTGTCTGCATATTGTAGGTTGTTAATGAGTCTTCCTCCAATCTTGATACCACACTCCTCCTAATAAAACCCTTCTTCTTGAATGATCTGTTCTGCATACAAACTGAAAAGGTACGGGCACAGGGTGCATCTCCAACAAACTCCTTTCCTGATTTTGAGCCATGCAGTGTTTCCCTGCTCTGTTCTGAGGACTGCTTCTTGGTCCAAGTATAGGTTTTATATAAGCACAATCAAGTGTTCTGGAAAAATAGGAAAAAATTCCTATTTTCCTCAAGGTTAGCCACAATTTACTGTGATCCACACAGTCAAATGCTTTTGCATACTAATAAAGGTATACATGCTTTAAAATATGAGAAAAATCTTAAAATGAGAGAGTAATTATTATGATTAATAATCAGTGACCTGTATTGAAAAGAAGAGGAGATTGAGACTTTGAAAAGATCACTACAAGAATGGAGTTGGAGCTTGAAGCCCCTGGATACAGTGGGCACCAGCCGAAAACTTGAGCTTCTGGTTCTGCTGTGGCTGACAGTGCTGGGCTGCCCAGTCTAAGGAGAGCTCTATCCGCTGAGCATCCCAAGGGTAAAATATCTTTAACAATCTAACATACTCTCTCCTTACTGATAAATTACCTCACGATCTGCCATTTCACATTTATGACAATAGTAAATGACTATCTGATACTTCTGCACACTAATGATGTGTGCCTGATAAAATACATACATTAGTATTGGCTGTGACAGTTACAGTCATGTGTCAACGTGGCTAGACCATGATCCTCTTAGCTGTTATACAAGGACGTCGTCAGCTTCCAATTTTTTGCACACTGTTTTCTCATAAGCCTCCTTGGTTAGGTGGCTGTTAAGTGCTGTCAAGATGAGTACAACTCATAGTGACCCTATGAATGAACAACAGATCTGAACCCTACTCTATCCTAGGCTATCCCCTCCTCATCATCAGCAGTCCACTGCTACAATTACTGGGTCAATCCATCTCACGGAGGGTCTTCCTCTCCTTTGCTGACACCTCGACCTTACCAAGCATGATGTGATGATGTCCCTTTTCTTGGAAGAGCCTCTCATAACAACATGTCCAAAATATATGAGCTAAAACTTCACAATCTTTGCCTTCAAGGAACACTCAGGTTTGTTGTTGTTGTTGTTGTTTGCCGTCGAGTGGTTTGCGACTCATAGTGACCCTATGCACAACAGCCCTAAACCCTGCTCTATCTTGCGTCAACCGCACTGCCTCTGACACACCCGTCCCGATTACCCCAGTCACCGAATCAATCCATCTCATAGAGGGTCTTCCCCTCCTGCGCTGTCCCTCCACCCTCCCAAGCATGATGTCCCTCTCCAAGGACCCGTCCCTCCTGGCAACATGTCCAAAGTATGTCAGACGAAGCCCCAGAATCCTTGCCTCCAAGGAGTAGCTTGGTTTAATCCTCTCCAAGATGAATCTGTTTTCCTGGCAGTCCATGGTACATTCAGTACTCTTCTGCAGCACCACAGCTCAAAGGCATCAACTCTCCTGTCCTCCCTAGTCATTGTCCAACTCTCTGATGCATAACAAGCGATTGCAAAGACCATGGCCTGTATCAGGTGCACCTTAGTCTCCAGAGAGACACCGTTGCTCCTGAGTACTTTAGAGAGGTCCCTAACAGCAGACTTTCCCATCGCGATACGCTTTTTGATTTCCTGACTGCTGGTGCCAAGAGTGTTGACTGTGGAGCCAAGCAAACTGAAGCTGTGAACAATCTCAATCTCTTCGCCATCCATCCTGACGCTGCCAATTGGTCCAGTGGTGAGAATCTTTGTCTTCTTGACATTGGGCCTCAGTCCATACTGAAGGCTGCAGTCCTTGACCCTCTGCAGCAAGTGCATGAGGTCCTCCTCAGTTTCAGCGAGCAGGGTTGTGTCATCTGCATAATGCAGATTGTTAATAGATCTTCCACCAATCCTGATGCCACAGTTCTCCTCATAGAGCCCAGCCTCTCGGATAATCTGCTCTGCATACATGTTGAAAAGGTATGGAGACAGGATGCATCCCTGGCGTACACCCTTCCCAATTTTGAACCATGCAGTGTTACCCTGCTCTGTTCTGACTACTGCCTCTTGGTCCAAGTATAGGTTTCGCATTAGCACAATTAAATGTTCTGGGATTCCCATTCTTCTCAGAGTCAGCCACAATTTGTTAAGATCCACACAGTCAAATGCCTTTGCATAATCAATGAAACACAGATAGACATTCTTCTGGTATTCCTTGCTTTCAGCCAAGATCTAACATCAGCAACAATATCCCTAGTACCACGACCCTTCTAAACCCAGCCTGGACTTCTGGCAGTTCTCTGCTGATGTGCTGTTCTAATCATTTTTGGATAATCTTGCTTGCATGTGAAATCAATGACACTGTTCTGTAGTTTCCACACTCAGTTGGGTCACCCTTCTTTAGAATGGGAACAAATATAGATCTCTTCCAGTCAGTTGGCCAAGTCGTTGTTCTCCAGATTTCTTGGTACAACTTGGTAAGCACATCCAGGGCAACATAGTATAAAGCACACCTAGTCAGGTACAGTTAAAACAACACCCATAGTTCTTAAGAACTGGCTAAAGCATACACCATTGTTTTTAAGTCAGTATCTGTTAAGGACTTCCTAGACATCAAGCACTGTTGCATGCATTCTACATATATAAACTGATTCTTACAACACCATGTAAGGATAAAATATCCCCATTTTACAGATGAGAGCATTTTGGTGAATTTAGATACAGGAAAATGGAGCTATCTGACCAAGGCTTTGGGAGGTACTGAAGTCACACATCTACTACCCAAGGACTATTTTCTATAAAATACTACAGAAATGTCTTGGAGGGGGTGCAGTCAGAGTGCTCTTTGGAGGCAAGAATGATGAGGCTTTGCCTCATACTTTGGGGATACTGCTAAGAGGGGTTATTCCATCCACATGATGCTGGGAAGTGTGGAGGGTCGGTGAAGGAGAGGAAGACTCTCAACCAGGCTGGAAGGACAAATTGTCAGCTTCACTGGGCATTTGTGTGTCAAAAAGTGTAAAGAAGGCATAGGATAGAACAGGATGCAGATCTTTTGTTCATAAGGTCACTATGAGTCGTGCCCTACTAGATGGCACCTAAGAACCCTAAACCCTTTAAGTAATAGTATAGAAAATACGGATCATTAAGAAACCCTGATATATGTTTCTTTACCCA